ACCCGAGTGGGACGGCTGAGCAGGACACACTTCGAACTTGGGTTTTTCAGTTAACGCAAGTGTCTCGGTGAGAAGGAAGGCGATAGAACAGCATGGCGGAAAGTCGGAGACATTTGTAGGTGTTTTAACAACAGTTGTTTCTCTTGACTGCAGTGACGAAGCGGCGCAAATCGGCTGCAAAAGTGGCTGTGGGAAACCTGTTTGTGGGGAAAGTATCATGTGGAACCACCATGAATCAAATCGTGGAAAAGTAGGGTGACAGCGTGTGGAAAACTTCGCAGGTACATGAGAGTGATCAGCTCTCACTTCCCTCGACACATCATAGCTTCGTTGCGTCAGGTAGATGTGTCGAGCCTGACGCCCCTGCCTGCGGAAAAGTGGTGGGGTGGGGTAAGACCCTTTGTCCAGGGTGGGACACACACACACACACCTGTGTCCCGTCTTGTCCTCTTTTCATGTCTTCATTCGTTTGTCTTACTGCGCGCACACGAACACAATCGCCTAGACCTTAGAGTTTCTCGCCTCCCCTCGGGGATGCGTGTGTGTGTACCCCTTGGAATCATAGGGATCCTTTCGGATTGTTTCGCTTTGACTAAAATTTTTGAAGGAGCAGGGGGCCGGAGCCAGGTGGGGGGTCTCCGGCGCACGAAGACACCCCCACCTGGGTGTAAACGTACCTGCGCTTGTGACAACACTCCACTCTTCCACCGCTGTGGTTTGTTTCCATAGTGTTTGCATGATATTCCCCTAAACCTGCCTTAATTTTTAGATTTCTTGTGTGCTGCAGACCTGCACGCTACGTCGTCATCTGTCGTTTCGGGATCGGCTTGAGCTTTGGCCCCACTTCCGTTTGAGGACCTCCAGGCTTCTCTTTGGTTTTCACTTGATCTGGTCAAGATTTGGATACCCAGGTTGGCGTGTGGCTAACCGCATCAAATCAGTACGCAATCCCATAAGTGTGTGTGTGTGTAACCCGCTCTTACACGCGGTTGACGAGTTTCTTTAAATTGTATCGACTTTTGAGAGTAGGGGGGCTGCCTGGCTTGTAACAGTGGCAGTCCAACGAAGACGCTGTTACAAGTCACTGATATGGATTCTGGACGCAGAATCCACGTACCTGCTTGATTTTGACATTTGCCGAGATGTATGGTTCAGGGCTAGTTGCTTTCCGGAGACACGTCGTAAAGGGCTAATGCATTACTCGATGGTGTCGCCGACTTTGCTCGGTTCTTCGGGCGCTCAAGGACACACGCTTAGGAGGTTCGTCATCCTAATGCTCCAACTTCAAGACTCATTCCCCAGTGTGTAGAGGGTGCATGCCAGAATTGGCGACACCGTCGAGACCCTGCGTGGGACTCTACAGTTGGCACGGGCCTTCCCGAGAGAAGTCATTGGTCCTCATTTGGAGGTACCAGAATCATGCACGCCAAAAGTGGCGCTGATTGGTGGCTCGCAGGCAGAAAACTAACACAGTCTCTGGGCAGACTGTTCTTAGCTGCAATCAAGCGCAGTTGCAAAGCGGCAGAAGTTGCTATCGAGCGCAGTTGCAAAGCGGCAGAAGTCGATTTGATTGATCACTTCAGTGCTTTGCACTCGTTGCCCGGATCTCAAGCACAGCCTTGCACTTGAGCTTTTGGCCTGACTCACTTCCGTTTAAAACCCCCAGGGTCCTTTAGGTTTCTCTGCAGACTTGCACTTGAGCTTTTGGCCTCACTTCCGTTTAAGAACCCCAGGATCCTGTGGGTTTCTCTGCAGACTTGCACTTGAGCTCTGATCGAATTAAGGCACTCATTTCTGCGGTTTTCAAACTAAGGATGCTAACGAGACCCACCGGGTTGGACCTTATTCGGCGTCGGCCTGTTTGACTTTCGGGACACTGTTGTGCGTAGGCCCACTCATCAAGTCTGGGCCCCCCACGGGGAGGGCCATGAGTGTGTGTGTGTAACCCGCTCTTACATGCGGTTGACGAGTTTCTTTAAATCTTATCGACTTTTGAGAGCAAGGGGATTGATTACTTCAGCGCGTTGCGCTCGTTGCACGTCAGTGTCCTAACCAAAACAGATAGTTTTACTTTTGTTTATGTCTCTCTTGACTCACTCTTGCACTTGAGCTTTCGGCCTCACTTCCGTTTCAGACCCCCAGGATCGTTTGGGTTTCTCTGCAGACTTGCGCTTGAGCTTTTGGCCTCACTTCCGTTTAAGACCCCCAGGATCCTTTCAATTTCTCTGCAAACTTGCGCTTGAGCTTTTGGCCTCACTTCCGTTTAAGACCACCAGGATCCTTT